AATGAGTTACCATTAAATGAAAGTGACCTGGTTTTGGCTTTGTTTGACACTATAAAAAGTTTTACCAGATATGTGCTGTTGTTCTGCAGTTGCTCAAAATAAGTGCTAGAGTTCAAGCAGTTAAATAAGTTGCAAATGCTAACTGATAAAGAGATCTAGTTAATGTCCCACTCAAGGCCAAACAGATTCTGTGTAGAAAACATTTTTTTGTCCCACAGTGAAGTAATCTGTGACAGAAAAGAGTTATTATTTGTTCACTTTTCATATTTTTTTAACGGGGTGAATTCTCCCAAATGCCTTATTTTTTCTTTGGCCACAGGTTTGTCCTTTTCTGATTTGCCCAGGTACAGCTGTAGTGGCAACTCAGCAGTTTACATCCGGACTGCTACTCCTAAAAACTAAAGATAGCTTTTTTTTAACCACATGGAAGTTTAAAATCTGTCAGGTAAGGCAAAAAACATGTAATGACACAGGTTAATGGGATCTGTAAGTCCCCTCCATTATTTGTGGAAGATTTTCTAGTGCTGATGTTGCTGATTTTTTGTGACAACATTTGTCCAATACCTTTCCTATAATATACCAAATAACATTACAATCACATAACTGGCAGCAATTCAAAATATACTGTTTTGTAATGGGATGAAGTAGAAACAGAGGAGGCTTCTTGCCATTGAAAGTAGGGGAATTAAAACTTAGAAAATGTGTAACTTTGCAGTTTTTGAATTGTTTAGTAATTTTAGTTACTTTGTTGGTTTGTGGTACATCCCAGAGTCACACACCTTCTGAAGAGGTCCCAAAGTTTTAGTAATCCTTTTGTATTATATCAAGGTTTCTTAAAGGCAAAAAGTAGTTAGGCTAAGCAATGTGTTAGCTTTAACAGCTGAGATGTATTCCCTCAAAAGAAACAAGCATAAATAAATAGGTCATAAAATCCAAAGTAAATTCAAGATACACCAAGAGAAGAATAACATATAAAAGGTTAATTCTGCATATTTAACAGCTATTAAATAAATTATCCCGTGACTGATTTAGACTCCAATCTCACAATGGAGTAATTCAAATTTTAAATTCAAGTAGCAAAACTGCTCATGTATTAAAATCGATGAAGTAACATTGGCTCTCAGTGTGCCACATAGCTCGAGAGAGGGAAGATGGAGGTAGCACTGTCTTTGGAGATAAGAGATCTGATCTGCTATTAACTGAAGGCCACCAGTGCTGTTCTGCTCCTCTCTAACAACTGCATTTAGGTGTTAGCTAAGGGTCAGAACATAAGGCAAAGTCAGCCACTGACTTTTGCAACAGATGCAAGGAACGGCATTCCTCGTGAGGCTGCTCGGTTTTTCAGTGGTTCGGTGCTTTGGTGAGAATGGCAAATCCCTGCTAACACTGGGAAAGGACTGGAGGGTGACTTTCTGATGGCAGCACAAAGGGCCCGATGACCAAAAATAGGAAGGGATTTAAAGTTAATGAGGTAATTGAGCACATGAAATTCAGAATGTTCTTTAACATGCTCCATGAGTGCACAAAAAAAGATACACTACCCAACCCATCATCTAAAGTAGAATGTAAGCATATCCTGTATTTGGGAATATGATATGTTACTTCCTGCTCAGAAAAGAAGTTTGAGAGCTTAACCAACATAGGCCACAGTCTTGCACAAAACTGCCAAGGGTGTGCCTCCACACATCTCTATTTAGATGTGTAAAATCACTAGCTGCCAGGAACTGTATGGGTGCATTTACAACATAATGGTGACCCTTTGCAAGATTTTATCAGTGTCTGTCTTTAAAAATATAACTAAAATGACTTTATCTCAGTTTCGTTCCTCCTGAACTTTCGACTCCCGTTAACTTTGTAGAATTTCTAAAGCTTCCCTATGAAAATTGTTTCTGCTGCAATCTTTGAGCCCACAAATTCTTGTGTTTTCATGTGTTGGCAGCTAAGTAGATGGTCAGGCAGATGAGTTGGCCTTTGCACAGAGATGATCCAGGTGCAAGCAACAGAGGTGCAGCACATCTTTCCAGGACTGTGCTTCTTGAACCAGCAGGGAAAGCAACAGCAGCTGAAGGTACACGTCACAACAAAGTGGAAATTAAATTAACTGAACTATTGTTGAACTTTTAAATGTACCAATCCTGTCGAACTTCCTTTTATTCCAAAGTGTGTACAATACCCGAGTTCACGCCTTTCTGCAAAATATGGAGAGAACCAGCATGAGCACATTTCAGCCTCTGATGAAACTGCAAAAACCCTTACTTTTTTTGTTTCCAAATCTAAGTCTGGCAGGTTCACCACCAGTAATGCAACCCCAGAAAGTCAGTGGGACCATAACACAGACAAGGACACGCAGATCGGCTTGTTTTCAGCTCCTGTTACTGATGGCTTGAGCTGGTGGGCACGATGGTCATGTTTGTTTATTTCACGGAGTCCAAAAGATTAAACCTCATCATTAATGGTCTCCATACTGGAACAGAGGAACATACTGTGCAAGATAAAGAAATGTGCAAAGACACTTCAAATCATGCTGGTAATGCTCCCAACAGAAAAGAGGAGGAAAGAAAGGAGGTCATGAGGAAGGAGAGAGAGCAGAAACCAGACAGCAGAATACCCAGGAGCACACCCCTAACAAAAAGCTGAAAGCTCCTTCATCTAAGCACCTTCTTGGTTAAAAGTCTTTGAGCTGCAAGCAAAAACCTATTCTCAGCTATTTGATGTCCTCAGTATTCAGGGAAACAGGATCTTGCACATTCCTTATCAATAAGAGGAATTCCAGAGATACCTGAGCCTCCACCATCAACCTCTCTCAAGAACACAAAACCTTGAACTTTGATTGCTCACCACTGACAAAAAGGATAACAGTCTGAGTTGCCCCTCTTTCCTCAAAAACTGTAGAGATAAAGCATTCACCCAGAAAATGTGCTGTATGGGCTACTTGAAAATAAAACAGTGCTTTAGCTTCTGAAAGCATTAGAAATCCAAAGACAACTTTGAAATATATTTTGATCTGACAGTTTAGTATAAGTAAATTATTCCAAATGGAAAAAAAAAAAATCAAACTCACATTTGATAAAATTTTAATTTTTCCATGAATTAAAAAAAAAAATTGCAGATCATTGAAGCTGGAAAACAAGGGAAAAAAACCACCTTCATAACCATTGAAGTAGAGGTGGAATGCTCCTCTGTAGCCTGCTTAGTTCCACCCCTCCTGCTCCGAGCAGACTGCCAGGTCTGTGGCCACTTGTATCTTGTCTGTCTCCAAGGATGAAGACTCTGCCACCTCTGTGTACAACCTGTGCCAGTGCTTGACCACACTCACAGGGAAAAACTTATTTTTGCATCCAAATGGAATTGTCCAATTCAATGGAATTGTATTGTAAAGACTGATCTAAACTGTGAAGCATTCCCTTCCTTAGAAGAAACTGCCCTTCAATTTTGAGATTTACAGTTTAGCCAGTGTGTCAAAATGGAGCAGCCTTAATAATGGAATGCAAAACAGACAGTGAAAAACAAGTTTGATTTTTGCAGCTGTGTCTGTTCTTCTTAACTCCTACTTTTTAAAACAACTAAATTCAAAGAATATTTTGGAGGGTTTTCTCTGAGTTTCACACTCCATTACTGTGACTCAAAGTTACTGGAACCTCCAGTACACAAGCAAAAGAGACTTAAAATACCTAAAAACATCTTACATACAGAGCACCGTATCACAGGGCTGTAGGGATGTCTCAAGAATCACTTATCAGGTGCACTCAGGTTCAGTGATTTTTTCTTTTTCCTTGCCAACACTTCCAACCCAGCCTGGGTTTCAAGTCTGAGGCTTGGCTGTTGCTTGCCCTCACGGCTAAGCACCTTCAGCAGAAGGATGCCTCTGCAGCACTATTTCCTGGCTGACTGCAGGGAAATTGTTTCCACTGAGAAGTTTGCAGCTGTGAAGTTTCCAGCTCAATGTTTCTCAGGTGTACTTTCACGGAGCCTCAGCACTAACAGCTGTATAACAAGCATTTACTGAGTCACACCAGGAAAACTGATGTAGCTCAAATCACTTCAGTTCCTCCCTCTTCATCCCAGGGTTAAAAAAAGAAGAGAAAAACAATGAACCAAACCCATCACACACAAACAGAATCATAACTTTGATACATCAAGAAGAACTGCAGCTACATATTCATGGGGGTACATTATGGATTTTTAATTAACTTGGTATTATGAAGTGTTAATTGTTTTTCCATGAACATTCACAATAGGAAAAGGATGAGTTAGAACAAAGCAATTACTCAACTATTTTTTCCAAGTAACATTTATTAATAACATTTTTAAGGTGATAACTTAAGAGTCATAAGGAAGGGGGCTGCTGTCAGTAAACATACAATGAAAAGGTAGTAAGATTTTTTCTACTGAAGTATGACTAGCAAGGCTTTCAACAGTGTTTAGCCCAACCAAATTTAATATTAAAACCATTCAAAATTGCTAGAAGTGTTGCAATCAGTTCTACCGAACTTATAAAACCTCATTTCAGTAGTCAATACTAACCTACTATTGATATAAAATTTTAAACTCCATTCATAATTTTTGTAAACAAAGCACTTAAGCATTTGAAAGAAAAACAAGTTAGTTTACATCCCACTAAACGGCAGCACATGTGTGAAACCTCAGGCATGATCAAGCATGGAGCATTATTAGGCACAGAACAAGACAGAGCTTCCACAGCCAGCTGCTGAATACACTTATGTTGCCAAAGATCTTTTTTATTTATACCAATTATGTTATTACTTACAGCTGAAAATTTAATAAATCCTCCATGTGGAAGATTTCAAAGAGACAAAGAAGTCATCTTACATAGGTTTGTGAAGCTTCTGAGTGCTTTCAATTGTACATGACTTAGAATGAGTTATGACTTCTTTATCTGCTTCAGGAATTTTTAGAAACTTCTCCAGAACCACTGAACTTTGGCAGATACTGGGCTTGTCAAAGAGCATAACACATCAAAAGACACATTTTCAGTCTGCTATTAAAACACTGAGGTATGCTGTAATTTATTATGAAATACCAGTTAAATAAAACAGAAGATGACCACTGTATTCTGAGGCTGTCAATTCAAGCTCGAGTCAAGGGGAGGAGCGGAACTACTAACATACAAAAACTGCTTGTAATTTCTGTTTTCTTAGGGAAGCTGCAAACAAGGTGAGTTATCTTACCCGTATCAACTGGCACCACGCTCAATCACTGTGAATGGCAACAACTGATATCCAGGCTGTTGATCTGTCTGCTCCTGACTCTTGCAAACAAAAGTTTAAACTTGATATAAATTAGGTAAATTTCCAGAAAGCCTTTGTTAACTGCCAATACAGATTTTCAATTGTCTTAATTAACTTACTTCCAAAGTAAATCTAGCCAAACTAGATTTAATCAGGGTAATTTTTTTCTGAGCTGACATGCCCCAAACTGAGTACAAATGTCTAGAGGTGACCTTCAAACAAAGGAGGCACTTGCACGAGGCACTGCAGGAAAGCCTCCATTGTCACTGCCCAGCATGTGCTTACTCAGTTGTTTTCTCCAGAGTTCTTGAACTTGCACTTGCTATAGGAATGACATTCATTTAAAGAATAGGAAAAATGTTTTAACAACTACCTGACCTTAGCACTAAGTGAACTCAGTGGTCTCCCCTTGTTGCCTTCTCCAGTTTTCTTTGGTGTCAAGTGTTAGCATTACAGCTATACAAGTTTTCTACACCTAATCCCCCTCAATTTGCAGTTTCCTGAAAAAATAACAGGTGTCAAACAAACGCAAACTCTTCTAAATGCAAACTAATGATTTAAACTACTCATCCTTTTTCCAAGTCTTTAAAAGCAAGAACAAATTAAGATTAAACAAGCTAAACACATGCCTTTGCCTTAGCTAACACAGGTACTACTAGCACTATTCAAACCTGTTTTGTCTATGAATTGCAAAGAATTTTCAAAAATACTTCAAAAAAGGTATGGTGCAGATGCAAAAGGTAAAAAAAAATAAAAAGAAATCTGTCCTGTCTTCCCCTACCCCTCTGAATTGATCCACAGCCAAATGAAGACCACAAATACACACCTACTCTCAACAGGTGAGAGAAACAGGCCAGTGTTAACATTTTATCCCATCCCTTAAAATAGCACTCACTGAGCAAAAAACCTTTTGCTTTTCACAGCATGTTGCCTGTCAACTATTCCAGGAGCTGTACAGAAGTTTTCAGGACAACGTGTAAGTACCTCCCCTCTTTTATTATTTTTATATGTTTGGAAAGGTATATAATCCAAAGACTTGCATCAAATCTTAACAATTTTAACAATTAAGGCATAAGCCATTGATAAATGAGGGGAGTGGGGAGGAAGAGCTTACAACCCCACACTCAATTTCCCCTGTTGTTTATTTTATGGCTCACAATGTACATTGACATACACACTTTTCATTGATTTACTCGTAATGGAACTATAGTCACATCCTTCAGTTGCTATAGTTACATTACATCAAACTTTGCACTCAAAATCTGCAAAGAAATCATATGAAGGGTACTTTATTTTTTTCCAAAGAGACCTGATTTGTCTTAATCAAAACTTTAAAGGAACATTTCACTTAAGCTGATACGGGCAAGCAAATTTTATAAAAATATACTGTATAGAAACACAGTTGGAAAATTGCATAGAAAATATCCTTTTATTTAAATCGAAATAAGGCACGGTTTTACTAGCTATGGTTTAGCTGTAAAAATGCGACTCTATTTTGATTACTTTTATGTTATTAACAGTATTTTCCATAAAAATATAGGTGCAGGAATAAAAAACCCTTTTATACAGAGTGGGAAACACTCTATTGTAAAATTTCACCAAATTTACTGTAATTCAGCTGTCAAAAATTCAAATGCTATTTTAATTCAGGATCCCACATATTATTGTCCTCCGGGCTGTTCAGTGGCTGATGCTGTGCTTTCTTCATTTCCTGTGTAATCCAGGTGTTCCATCATCTAAAAAAGGAGGGGAAAAAAAAAGGGAAAAGGGATGGCTCTTTATGAAGAAATACTGCTTTACTCCATTGATTCAAAGTATTTGTTAGCTAAGAGAAATATAATTAAACAAGTGTTAGAGTACATTTTAGCAGTGTACATTTAACAGATCCTCTATAGGTCAGAAAAAATATTTAAGCCAAATAATCAAAGCTCTATTAGCTAATGCTTTCTACTACAAAAAAATTCTCCAACCAAGGACCCGAGTCCTCTACAAGAAAATAAACTCAGAAGTATCTCAATTATTAAACACAGAGAACCAAAAACAATTGGGCTTACACAAATTTTTCAAAAATACAGCTTGCACAACTGAAAGTAGACTCTAGGATCTTACCTGACATTTACTGGTAGCAAGCAATAGCTTGAACAGAAAAGACTAATTTTCTCTTACCATGGCTGTAAAGGCTACCTATATTACAGTTAGTCAAAACTAACTGTAGTGATCACATATCTTTGTAAATTTTTATTTTAAAAAAGATAAAGGAAATGGAACTGCATAGTCCTGCAACAGGACAGAATCTAAACCAGGTTACTATAGAGACTGATTATAGCTGGCATTGATGTTACTGATTAGATTGCCTGAAATAACTCAAGACAAATTTGTAGCTGTCCTGACTAAAAAGCAGCCTGTTTCCCTATCCACTATTGTATTGCTGGAGGCAATGAAGGCTCTGTCTCTGGGACAAGGCATTGGATGCATTATAGAGGTAATACACACGCTTGTTAGTGTGACAAACTGAGACCATCAGTTTGAGGGCTTCAGAACTGAGCATAACTAACAAGAGGCCGAGAACTGGACAGTTTGGGTAGCTGACAGCCAGAGACAGAAGACACAGAAATAGTACAACTAATGCTGAAAAAACAAAATGTGCCAAGGAGCTCATATGCCCAGAGTAGCAGCATTATTAGGACAAGAGATTATGTTTTAAGCATCAAAAGGTGGAAAAGCCTACTTATGTTCTTTCATAGTGGCATATCCTGCCTGTCTTTCTGTGTAACAGCTGCTCACTGTGTGGGTTCTGATCTAAGCTGGGCAAATTTCCATACAATTATTTTCTTGTCTTACAAGCACCTGCTCAGAATCCTTGCCAGGACAAAGCCAGGCTCTGAGACTGCTGTGTTGTACACACTTTAGTGTGGTGTAATTCTGTGTACAGGGTAAGAAGACTTGTTCAATTAACTTTTCTATTCTTTAGTTATGAACCAGCTCTGTGCCATTCCTTCTTTTATGCCACCAGAATTGTTTCACTGAAAGTACACAAACATACCTTATCAAAAGCACTTTTGCTTAAACAAGCTGTTTCACAGTCAAGCCACACCAGCATGCTATGCAGTAAACACAGATGACAGTTCCAAAAAACAAGTCAGTGGGATTTGGGTAAGGTTTAGGAGAGCCCAGTGGCCACAGTATCAATCTGACTAAGACCAGAAAAGATCTTTTACAACCCTCCCTTCATGTGCCAGAACCATAGCAGTAAGAACTAAGGCAGGCACCAGTCTTGCCTTGCCAATAGACTTCAGGACTGAGCTAAGAGCAGCAGCACACTCAGCCCAGCAGTGAATACCCAGCTCTTGTGCTAATGACAATCTTGCATTTATTTCAGTATATCCAGAATTTTCCTCTAAACTGCAACCAAAAATCCACATCAAAAGTCACCAAAAGCGAAACACTCCCTACAATTACAGAACTCAAACCATCCCTTTGAATGAGGATTAAAGTATTCGTTTCCAGGATAAAACAAGAACAACCTTCCCCCAAAGTACCATATTACATTGAGTCATGCCATATATCCTCCTCCAACCTAGGGAGAATCATCTAATAACTGGCATAGAGAAAGTAATTTTGCTAAACATTTTTGCACAGTCCTTTCCTATTAAATTGACAAAATGCTTCTAGAAATAGAGTTAAAATTATTTCCAATAATTCAGTGTATTCCAAAGATTCTTCTGGTAATCATACAACACTAAGAAGCAAAAAATATACTTTCTTTTGTATAAATGCTGGAGACAGCACCTATATTTAAATTTTAAAGTCTCCACTTAATAATCAGATTTTGAAGTTAACTTTAAAACCAAATGTCTTGTAAAACTCTAAGGGTGTTGGGGGGACGGGGGGATGTTGATATAAATGTTTCAAGGCTAAAAAAGCCACGCCATCCCATTTTTAATTTTTCCTCCACACAGAAGGACAGCCCACAACTTAAAGCTGGGGACAGCAGGTGCCACTCTAAAAGTACAAGATGGCATTTAAGCAGCTTTGTCCACATATGCATCTCCACTGTGGGTTCTCTCAGGACAACCCCTTCCTCAAAGCCTCAGCAGAAGCTGCAGGAATCTTTATGATAACTGCTGCAAGATGAAGGCACTTGCTGCAATCCCAGACAAAGTTGTTAATTTAAGCTAAGAAGGAGGCAAAGCAAATCTGACTGTACATCGTGGAGAGCTCACAAACATTTCTGAAGTGGAAGAGACTTAGAAGCTTTGCTCTCACATCTGATTTTCTGACAATTTTTAAGGGGGAAGTGTTAGGACAGCCTTGTAAGTAAAACATTTCTGTTTAACCTATCTACTAATATGGTGAGCTATTAAGAACTAAAACCAGCAAACTCACCCCTTAAAAAACACTTCCACAGAGCCAAACCAGGAATGGCAGTACAAATCTCTGCCTGTAAGAGCACATAGTACCTATCCACACAGTTGCTTGCAAGATTCATGGCAATAATGTTGCATTCATGAAATTCTTAACTACTCCCAGTTATGATGGATTCAAGTCTCTAAAAATGTGATTATAAAACTTACTAAACAGCAGGTGCATGCTGTGTAACATGCCAGTGACAAATCTGCTGATTTATTATTTTAAAGAGAGATAAGACGTGTTAAACACTTCAAACTGACAAACTCCAACAAGTTGCAAGACTACTCCATGTAGAAGACTTAAGTTGCATTAGGCCACTAGATTTTCCATGATTTTGCTAAAATTATTTCATAGATTATACTGATACAAAAACCAGTATTCTAAAATTAAATGAATTACTGGAAAATAAGTATGAAATTAGTTTATAATTAAGGCATCTATGAGGAGTATAAGCAATCCAGAAACTTAGATAAACCTTTATTTTACACTTCATACTAGCAATACTGCCAGTAAGGTGGCAGGAAAGTAAGTACATTATTCTTCCAAGAAATCTCTGCAGTTCAGTGAATAGTTAAAATGTTTTCTGTGCAGCAACTCATTATAGCTCAAGACTACACCATAAAAAAGCCACACAGAGCATAACAAGAATTTAAGACTGCATCATTATGCAGAAACAGAAATTACCTCAGCTATGAATTATGGGACCTCAGAGCTATCTTAGGGAGTCAAGCATTTGTCATATGTATAAAGCAGAAACTAAAAAAGTGATTTTAACAAACCTATCCAAGAACTCAAGTGCACACAGCAGGACAGAAGAATTCTAAGTTATAAAAATAGCTTGGCCATATGCTTTTAATTCGCACTCAACCCCTCCCACTTCCTAATACCATCTTTGGTTTATATCTAATTTTTTCATTATTAAAGCTTGTTAATGAGACTTAAATTGTTGAAGTACTCTTTCTTAGAAGAAAGGAGCTAATGAGAAAAGTATTTTTAATTTGAGAATTTAAGACACAGGCAGACAGAATTCACCATTCCAAATTGTCTTCAAAACAGACACCCTACATTTTATAAATACACGTGTAACTCCCACAACTATAATTCAAGATTATATTTAAATGCTTAAATTCCATGAGAAGCTGAAATTTGAAAGCTTGCACTGCTCTCTGCAAGCTGTGTGGACAGCAAAAATAAATGCTATCAGTGTTAGCTGTCATGAGCTGCTGCCAAGAAAGGCCAAACCTCGCTGCAGTCCAGAAGTGGTGCAGCAGTGAGGTGACAAAGTCCCAGTCCCTGCTCCCCAGCCCAGTGCAAGCAGTGCAGACAGGACAGGATGAACACTGTGGAGCAGGACAATGACAGAAGGGCTGCAGACATGATTACTAAAGGCAAATTTATAATGCCCACCATTGCAACAGAAGTTACAAACAACAAAGTTGTTGTTCAGCACTAAGCAGGTTTTCACATCTATACAGTGACAGAAAAATCAGGTGAAGGACTGCAATATAGGTGACAGAAGAGGAACTAACACCAACTGCAAATATTTGAAGACAGTCCTATGGTTTGCGAAGTTAGAGAGCAGAGAAGCATACAAAACCTGCCTTCAGGCTTAGGAATCACAGCTCCATTGCTACTTAATGTTTTCCTGCACTCCTTTAAAAAATAAAAAACCCAAAATAGCTAAGGGTGAATACAGATTGGTATCTTGTCTTCAGTTCTACCTTCTTCTATTGAGTAATTAATACAAAATTAAGAGGCAGATGCAGAAAATACTGAAAAGAGGAAGCAGAAGGGGAAAAAGAAGAAAAAAGAAACTGTAAGATGATTACTAAAGTTGCATTAAAAGAAGGCCATAATCACACCTTGTAGCAAAGGCGTCCTGGAGGAGTCCGATACCTAAATAAAATTCATTCCATTATTAAAATCATACACAACAAAACCAACAAAAAAAAAAAACAGAAAAACCCCCAAACCCCAAAAAGGTAACTAATGGACTATTATTATGAAGTTTAGTCACCTGATGCACTGTAGATGTTCTTCTACCCCTACTCTTAGAACACTGCTCTAGCAACTCTTCAAGGTTTTTTGTTCCCATGAGAGCAAAGCAAACCTCTACACAAGTCTGGCCAACCTTGTCAATGGGGCAGCTCTGCCTGAGCCTCAAGCACTGATGTAGCAAAAACCTGTCTTCTGACACCTCTGCATAACCTTCCTCCTCCAAGTGAGCACTGAAAGCTGGAGATTTCAACCCTGGAGCTGTGTGGGTTAAGGCTGTTTGGGGTTTTATTTATTTGCTTGGATTTTTTTGAATATTTTCGAATAACACTCTCTGTGAACAAAAAATTAATATAAAAATATTCTTCAGAAAGTTATAGAAAAATAGAAGTTAGTAAAGTTACACAGAGCTCAACTGCACGCTCAATTACAGACAAGTCTAACTCAGGGATGGTGGAGTGGGAGTTGAAATCAATATTTTAAATTGTGCTAGAAATGAAGTCATCTGACTCAAAACAAGCTGAAGTTCAGAGTAGTTTTAATCCTTCACAAAACCAGTTGAAAGGACATGAAATAACTACTATGGCAACATAATTCTTTCAAGTATGAGTTTTTCTACAAGAAGTGCAAGAAATTTTTTGTCGCTAAGGAGACCTGCCAAATTTACTTAGGCCAATCTTACTCAGAACTTAGGTGAGGAAATTAAATTGCAAAGTGTTTTCCCCACAACAAACCCAGAGTTACAGGGCTTCATAAATGCGACCTTGTTTATTTTAGAAGAGCAAACAGCCACCATTCGATATATAAATGCACAGTAAGCCAAATTAATTCTGGCCTACAGAGAAACATTTCTATTCACTGGACCTATGAGAGAAGGAGTTGATTTTGTAAACCAAAAGACAGGGTATTTAGTTAAAGATGAAAATCTCCTGAGTAATTTCACACCTAAGCCAACCTCCAGTTGAAGCAGATGTAGTTATTAAACCAACAAAAGGTAGCATTTTGCTAGTGATACTATAGGAGCTGGTGCCTGTAGTTTTATCTTTACAAGAGTTACTCTTCACTTGCACTGACCCACTTAAACTTTCCAATCCAGAAACTGAAAAAGCAGGAGCTGCTTCTGTCCACCATGAATTTGACACCCACCTTCCCCCAGAACAGACTATCCAAGCTCCAAGTTCAACATGACCTAGGTAGAGATGATGGTGCTTCAATTCAAATACTGAACTTAGGTCACAAGCAAAACACAGAGTAATCTTTAGATTGCTCTGTCTTATGATAAATGCCAGCTCCCAAGGGATACTGGCACACCCAGTTACTACAGCAAGTCACATCAGGGGAAATATGCACGTGTCAGCAAGTGGGATTTTAAGAACTGCAATTCCTGGGTACTGTCACACATAACCAAGGAGGAAATAAAGAATATCCAAGACAGCGTGCCCACAGTGTGTGCTGTGATTGGAAGCAGTTATACAACCCAACTATTTTGTTCCTGAATGCTCCATACAATCCTGATGATATAGGCCATTGGTGATGCATGGAAAGTTTCTAAAGCTCTAGGTGATCACCCGTTTTTTTGGAACTGTCTCTAATATAGAACTAGCACAGTTTGGAGTCTGCATGCTTAGTTCAGTGACTCATGTTATACCACATCAAGATGATAGATGAGGAATGTTAAAATACAAGAAAACATTTGAAGTAGATAGAGCAAATTACTTTCCCTCCCTGAGTACTGAACCAGCTATTTCATCTCCCTTGAGTTTTGCTCCACCACGTCAACTACTCAACTAACATTTCCTAAGATTAAAGACAACTTTTCCTTATTAATTCCAGAAGATCTCAGGAAAACTTGGAAAAACTGGATTGGTGATCTATCACCAAGTTCACAGAGAAGCATATACTGAAAGGAATTAACAACAGATTACTCAAGGCTTCCAGCCTACCTGGTAATTGCTTCCTTTCCAAAACTTCTCCATTTCTTTGCGCCTCCAGGCAACAAGGGAGCTTGTGACGAGTGTACATGGTACAAGATAGAGAAGGGCAGGCTGCCCCATCTTCATCAATGCCAAAACAATGAAAGTCAGCACCATGCCAACGCCATAAGCTATTAAAAGACATTCATACATACACAATCAAGAACAGGAGAATTTTTAGATTAGGTCAATCAATTAGTAAGATAGAATTTCTTTTTAAGCAATATTTTCCTTGTCAATATAACTTTAGAAGAGAAACAATAGGCTGCCCTATATTTGCAAGATTTCTTAAAGCAACACACTATCATAAAGAATAGTCACCTTAAGTATACATAAGCACACTAAAAAGAGTTCCTAAAGAGATTCTGGACAACATTGAACCTTACCTGATGAAAACCATCTAGATCTGCCATTTTAAAAAAGCTATCAAGAAGATCAACCATGCTGAAATATCACAATTTACCTATTGTGCAGGAAATGTAGTATACAGAAGAAGATCTTGCTTGAACATCAAATCTTCTACAATAGGCAACCAGAAGTCCTTCAAGGGAAAAAAAAATTTAAAATGGAAAAGGATTAATGAAATGTTTAGTCATGATTTTTTTTTCTTCCCAATTTTCCAAATGAAAGCAGCATAAAGAATTTATAAAAAAGCTTCCCATTATGGTATTTTATCTCCTTTCAGTATTTTTTCTGTAAAGGCAAAAACCAGTCTAAGAAATCCTACAGAAAGTCTAGAAAATCAAAACCATAATAGAAATATGAGCCAAGCAAGCTTGGAATTAGAGGTTTGGGGTTTTCAAGCAACCTAATTACATTGTGCTATTTTCAGCTCTCTAATACAGAAGTGTAAGAACCTATTTTTAATACTTTTCTTCAATAGGATTCTCATACTCTTAACATTCAACAATTTTTGCCTGCACATGCTTGATTAAAGTAATTTGCTCAAGACTCCAATTATAGCCAAATTCAGCTCTTCTGAGAAAGATGGAAAAACTTGGCAAAACATTTTACATTACCTCACCTCTAATTACATAGTTTAGAATATGAAAATCCTACGAAGTCACAGAATATTTGCTTTCTGTGAGACTTTAATGAAATTTAGTTAATACTGACAACTAGATTTACCTATGGGACTTGCATTTACTCTGTCCACTACAACTGAAAATAAAAAACCTTTCACTATTTAAGTATCCTGTAACATACTGAGATTTCTTCTTCCACTCTGACTTTTGTTGTATTTTGCACTGACTGATCAAGGCAAACTCCTGCATTTGATTTAGTAATTACCCTGTGAATAAACTCCACGAGTCAGCCGAGATTAAAACTCAAAATATTTATTCATAAGTTACAGTTACCAAAAATATTTGCTCACCTGGGACAATAATGTCTCCAAAACCCAACAATGAAAAGGGCAAGTCACAGAGTGTTGATGCAGAGTGTTCAAGTCTAGGCACTCTAATAACCACGGGTAACTGGAAAACATTATTTCAGAAGCCACATAAATCTCATCTAAAGCATTCTGGTGTTCTGGATTTTTTTGGTTGCTTGAGTTAATAAACAGTTTAAATATAATTAATTTATCATTAATGCAGACTTCAAAATAGGTAGAACCTGAAGTAAAAACCAGAAACCAACATAAAAAGTAGATAAAGCTTAAGGCAACTGGTAAGCTGGAATTTCAGATTTACAAATAATACACACACACACACACACAAAAAAAAAAAAAAAAAAAAGTTAAAACAATATTTAACCATGTAAAGGGGGTAACAAATCTGGATTATTAACCTAACTATAGAATACTGATCAATGATATCCAGGTCCTAAAGAGAAATTTGGACAGTAAGGTTTTCCCCAAAAGAACAGTCTTTTCAGAGGAAATAATTTAAAAATCCAGTATCTGAAATACAATCCTTACTTTCTCATGGGGAGCTGAGCGTTCAGTAGGGACTTCCACCAAGTTTCCATCACTCTAGGATCAAACCCAAGTCAACAGGTATTTAATACTTATAAGAAAATAGCAGAAGCTGGCTATATTTTGTGAGAAAGTTATGACGAAAAGCACACTATGAATTAGTTACACAGAGTCAGTACTTTAATGCTGCACATATCACGATGACTGTTCATACCTTTTCACTGTTTCCAAAAGGACCAGCTGCAACTTCAACCATTATACTTGCCCCATTCTGAAATTTAAGTTATTTTTCAAAAGTTAGTGGTTTAATGAACCAGAACTTTCATACTACATTTATAGAAATTGCTTGTACCTCCACTTACAATTCGGGATTGGAAAAATCCTGAATATCAAAGGGAATGCCCCGGTATTGTACAGTATTATACTGCTTTGTTTGGCAATAAAAACATGTAGTCCAGCCTAAAATGATGTTAAAAAAACCCCAAACAACAAGTCCACTAGATGTAGCTGGAATTTTAGATAAAAACATGTCAGCTTTTTCTGCCATGAGCTTTCTGCTTCAAAATAAAAGCAGGTTAAACTTGCACACAGCTCATACCACACTGCAAATGATCACTGCAGAAAGTACTACAGCATATTCCAATAAATGGCTCTTTAAAGAAAAAGAAGGGAAAAAAATGGAGGGCAGACACTATCCCTCACACTAACTGGGGATGGTTTACTTTTAACCGTGTGATTGCCATAAAAATTTAGGCCATTGTTGTCTTACATGGGGAAAAATGGAAATCAGCTTTTCCACCTTGAGAATACTGCAAACACTGACCTGTTTGCATAAAAATACTCTCCCAATGACGAGACATTTTTGTTCTTACAATGAATTCACAGACATACCTTTGTGATAAATGGTGTTATGAAGACAAAAAACACATCATATAGAAGGAGGAGGCCTAGAAGTATTACACAGGACTGGCAAAAAAAATGAGAAGAAAATATTACTGTGGGTTTTCAAGTATCACACAGCTAGATTCTGGTACCATTACTGAAACATGTTTTAATCTGGCATAACATTAAAAACCGGATTAGTTTCTTTTAATAATTATTAAAAATGGTAAAGATGAAGCTTTTTAATATATATTTCTTGCATATTGAAAACCTACTTCCTGACTGTAAACTTGCAGATTCATGGCAGCAAAGTATTATCTTAAGGTAAGCAACTTACAGTACCTTAAAGTTGGGCATTTTCAGTGTTTTAATGAAGTTTAGGCAGAAAGCAACTCCCAAAATATCTTGCAAAATCCAAGCCCACCTACAAAAAAAACCCAAAACATTTTTACAGGTTGTTCAAACTGCTGCTGAAATTGAAATTTTTCTGGAAATAGCAAGGAGAATTTCTCAGAAAGCAAGAAAAAAATTTTCAGGATTACTGCTACCAAAACCATGAAAGTCCTAGTTTCAAGATGTTCAATTTATGCCAGCCTCTGATCATAAATAGGTAACTGTTTGTGTTGGTAATGCCTGGCATAGAGTTCATTTTCTTCACAATAGCTGGTATGTTTTGGATTTGTGCTGGAAATGGTGTTGATAACACAAGGATGTTGTAGTTACTGCTGAGTAGAGCTATTCCCTATGTTATTCTGCACCTCTTTTCTTCTGTGGCAATCATTAGCAATCAAGCTAGTTCTTCCTCATCTTCATAGTTTTTTGTAATTTCATATTACCATACAGCTCATTTGCATTGCTTTGTTCTCTATTACTCCCATGCTTGTTAAGCTTCAAAATACTTTCATGATTTTTTTTAAATTGGCACTGGAGTTTAGAAGCATGCTGTGCTCCAGGATTAGCTGTATGCTGGGAAGTTCATTAACACCAATTATTCACTCTACTCTTAAGTCAGAATGCACCACTTACCTATCTTCATTTCGAAATACTGCCCAGACAACAGCTGCTGCTATGCAGAATATAGCAAGAAAAATAAGCCTCACTTCAATGGTTTTGTTGGAACATGTAATCCTAAAAGAAAATAATTAAATTAAAAGAGAAAGCCTTCAACAGCCAAGACACACACCTGTGCTATCACACATCCTTAAGCTGACAAGGTGTTGTGACCCCAGGAGTTTCTCTTTTGCCTGTCTATTCTGTACAGATTCAGGTGGCATTGTGTTTACAACTGCAGTACTTCTCTGGGCTGCACTAAAAACCTGCCAAGAGGGGCTTGGATGGCCTGTCCTCATTCTAGCAAATATATCCAGGGAAGGCAGCAAGCAAATGAGTTTGTTTAATCCATTTCTGTCATGCAACAATTACACTGAGCTACATCAGTGAGGGACAGCCATGTCAGAATTGCACAAAATGGTAGTGGTGAGAAAAATCAATTTTAGGACACCTAATACAAGATTAAAAATGAAGTAACCATGTATTGCAAAATTGTGAGCCCATATCCATTTCTACCACATACTCAATTTTCTGTGATAGTTTTTGAACTGACAGAAGTAAAACCTCTCCTGCAGCTGACACAAAGCCTGCTCTTTTCTACTTGATTACTACCTTTGATGGGCTACTGGATCACCTGACATGAATGTCCTACATTAAGCAACATGCAAATCACATGATTCACATTCATGGTTCATAGGCATTGTTCTTTTGGGGAAAAAATATGTGTTGCATTAAACATTCAGTAAAAAAGTGAAAATGCAGGAAAGGAAAACAGGGACACTCCCATACACCCTAAAACAAGCAGGATATTTAATTCAGAGTGGTAAGAAGCACCTATGTGTGCACTAGTAACAAACCACCTAAGTGAGGACTGCAACTACAACCTTCTAACATGGGTGACACGAGCAATGTGTCATCCATGCTGAAAGTTAAAAATTGGCAGGTACAGTACAGGTTAAGAAGAGGGAAAAACCCTTCTGCTGCCTATAGCAGTACTTGCTCCAAACATCATCAAATGCGCAGGATCCTCCCCTTAACAGAGTTCCTTGAGGAACAAAATAAGCACATATGACAGACAACCAGAATTTGGTAAAACCAAGCTCAGACAGCCAAGAGAGCTTTCAAATTTTATTACAGAATACTTTAAAATAAAGGTAATGCAGCAAATTTACAACTATTTTAACTGTTGATTATGCTACAGATACCTTTAATATTTATTAAAGCAGCCTGTAATTTTCTTTTGTAACTATCCCACATATTAAAACCATACAGAAAATAATTTGTCAAACTGTTCTAGTATTTTCATGCTGCCTTAAGTAACAACCAGGAAATACCCAGAGGAAACCTGTCATTTTTAGTAAGTGAAAGGTGCACAATACCTGCACTGCCCAAATGGGATTTCCCCTATTAATGCTGCAAGACAGTTGTACAGACTCATCGCAGATGCCAGGCAGAAGACTGATATTATAACATAAACTAAATAAAAACAATGAAGACAGGAATCAGTGACAAAAAATAGAAAACAGCAAATAAAAACAATAACATGTATTCAATATTTTGTGTTCAAGAGGTGTCTGGACTGGCACTGGGTGATGAGGTTTAAGGGTTACAGTGACTGTACTGAGAAGACATTTGGAATGGATGATCTTGAATGTCTCTTTCAGACTTGAGGATTCTGTGATTCATGATATAAACTGTTTATAGTTATAGGAGTGCTCAACAGTCATTGGAGATCATAGTCAGCCAAGTATAGAAAATGCTGAGTTCTGAGTATCTCTGCTATGACAAGATTCTCATCAAGCAAAAACTTGACTCAGAGATATAAAAATTGCTTTCTAGCCAGATCCTCACCAAAAAACTAAAACCAAACACTAAACTCCAACTAGCAAAACATGTTTTCATCAAGCAAACTCTAAACACTACTAGGTTGTCACTGCCATCCTCCCAAGAATGTCAACATCAATCATAAATTTTTTTTTTCTCATCATTAGTCACCTCTCCCCCACATGGCTTCATTCAGAACAAGCAATCTCAAGGCAGTAAGACAGCTGAAGAAACCTCTCCTTTAAGTAGCAACTGCATCCTTTCAACCCTCAACTCATGCATGGAGAGAATAATTTAAAAAGTTGCATTCGTTTTAGTTTAGAAATCTAGTTTTTTAGGCTTAAAACATTTCATAAGATCATGTAGAAAAATAAGTTAAATTAGATTGTTTGTTTTTTCTTACCTAACCACTTGTAGAAGAAATAAAGTAAGACCAGCATGACACAACAGATGACAACAAACAAGATAACTGTTACAGGGGTGAAAGTAACATTTTCTTCCTTCTTCCATCGGGTTTCTCTCTCCCCAGGAGTTGCTACTGCTTTCAGATTCTCACTGTTTTATGAAAACGACAAACACAATTACCTCAGATGACAGATTATGAAAATGTTCTACTATGACCAGAATTGATGGTTATAGAACATTCAGACTGACAAAGTTTCAGTTTAGTTCTTCATACTATTATTAGACTTAAACAGAAAATGGTATGGTTATTGTTTGAATTTCTCTCCGTTTTTAATGAAGATATGCATTTCCAAACTAGCACAGATCACAAGGAAAAGATTAACTGCACTCATTTCCAATGGTGTAGTTGCCAACTATAAGGGAGCATACCCAACTGATCCATGTGAAGAAATGTAGTACTATACTCTTAAACTGCTTTTCAGGATGCACACACTGAGCTCTATTAGTGCATCACCTCTGACTACAAAATTTATTGGGCTAAATGTAGACAATCTGATAAATATGTCTACAATAAATCAAAATCATACTTAACTCTTAAAACCTCATCTAGACATTAAGTGTCTGCAAAACCCATTCAATTCATGTGAGCAGAATGAAACTAGCTAAGCACTACCTCTTTTACACCTCATAATTAGAGTAAGTGAAAGAGAGGTGGTATAATTGGGGATTTTCACTGGGAGTAAGATTTCTGTGCATACATACTCCATATTTATACTTCACCATGCAAAATAAGGAGACTTGAATTGCTGTGTTTGTTCTTTGAGCAGAGAGCTCTTCTACTCTTTAGTACAGACCTAGTGCAAATTGCCCATCAGATAGCGTGTTCCTGAGGAATCCCAGGACCTACCTACCAAATGCTGAATTCAGCACTGAAACAGCTACCTTCAAAAGAGAATAGCCCACAGGAGCAAGGCACCTTGTTAGATGAATCACCTTCTCAGAAGACATGCTTTGAATAAGCAGCTTTTTTTAAAAAAATAAGCTTGCCCTAGATTTATGAAAGAACACTAACTAGTTTAATAACTTACATCTAGGTATTTTTAATATGGGAGTCTGCACCACATTTTGTTATTTTAGCATTCTGTGCAACCACACCCTGCAGCACTGCAGGGTGAAAAAGAAGCATAATCAGATCCAACCTTTAAGAAAAGAAGCACACACACCTCCTCTCCTTCTACTTCTTTAATCTCTTTTAAAAAGCTAATTTGCATAACTATGGGAAAAAGGAAACCGTTGTTATCACATACAATCCTCTCCTTGTTGTTCTGGGGAGCAAAGCACCAGAACACCACCCGAGACCCTGAAGGTAGCAACACACAGTGGCCCATTTAGCATACCCAGCCACCCAAGAAACACTGCAGAATAATGCCATGCTCTCAAAGGCCAGCTACAGCCAGTTTAACCCCAGACTAGTAACAATTCTGTACACCACTTAAAGCTGCACATCCCTCAAGGACAGTGCAGAAAGCCCCACTACCCCTTGTTTCCCCTGCCTTTGCCACTTTGTTCTGCACTGGCACTCCCTCTTCCCTCCACAGGGACTGCTGCTGCCTCCTTGTCCTTGCCCAGTCCTAGAGCTGCTGCAGCCCTGGCTCTGCTGCTCCACCAGATAAAACACAAAGCTGAAACACATAAACCAGGCTGGATTTTATCTGGAGCCAGCCAGACAACCAAACTGTGCTTCCCATTGCTCCTGGTGACGGGAGTGCTGCACAACCAGCTGGGATGGAGCAGCTGCACAGATCCCTGCCGATGCAGACACTACATACAATATGTATTTACCTCCTGAATCACTGTACTTGAAAGGTGTAACTAAAACACCTAATTTCTGTTGTGGATATGGGAGAATTATGATGCTAGTTACAGAGTATTTGGTAATTTGTCAAAATATTAACTCACACCTCCTCCCAAGAGCTGCATTATCCCTCAGGGACTGTTACAATCTGTGCTTGAGGTTTCTCAAAGACCACTGGTGATTTTTCAGAGGTTACAGTGCTCAAACATTTCATGACAAAGCAGCTAATTGCACACAGATCTTCTAATTTTTTAACTACCAACCTAAAAGAAAATAATTTCTCACTGATCATAATGACAGTTTTCACAAGCTTTGCAGTGCATGTAATTTAAGCAGTTCCATTTAACAAACTTACAGTTCTGCTACTCCACTCCAGTAGCCTCCCAGTGCCACTGTAAACACAGCAATTAGGAAGATGACAACCATACTGTAGTCAAACTCTGGCAAAGGTGGTGAATACAGAGTCACATTAACTTCATTTCCAAGCACCTGAAATATAACATACAAGTTGGCTCATAAGGAGAACAAATGTACGTGATTTCCTACTCGTAATCTACACAATGCTGAGAGGAAGTTTTCAACTCACTGCACAAGACATGTCATATGTCTGTCTAGCAATGCTTTCCATGCTACCTTTCAGGATGGTCAGGTTTGGAAACAAATCTATTATCAGTCCTGTGTAAATACAGAGATACCACAAGAGAAAGTGGTACCTCTTTGCATTCTTTCCACACTTCTGAGAAGCTGTGCCTCTAGCCCAAATGCCTCCCCAAAATAAACCAAGTGCTATCAAAGACATTAGCTCTGCAGGAAAGTGCAGCTAACTCAATCACCTTAAAATACAAACTCACAGATCCACTGAGGTATCAGCAGATCTGCCTCTAGCTCTCAAACCCACAGAACTCAGTTCAGATACAGTCATGAGGCTTCAGACAGAACGCAGTGACAGCTCAAGGTGACAGAAAGTTATTTACCAACAGCTTCACACAAACACGATTTGAGATGGATTCAAATGAAAAGAAAGCAATTTCAAGCTATTTAAAAAAATTTAAGACCTAAGGAAAAAAGCCAATCGGCTGAAGTACGCAGAAGAAAATCAGAGAGAACACTGAAATGTAACTGGTACTGAATTGTGCAAAAATCTTGAAAGCAAAACCAAGGTGCTTTCATTTGACTGAAAGGTGAAATTTAAAAAACAAAGAAAGGATGATAATTTGACAGGAAATGGAAAGTAGTAGGGAAGACAAGTTTGCTGTTGCAGTCAAAGTCCAGACATCTAAAATAATTGTGCAGTGAGAACAGACTTCAGAGATGCAGGAAAAAAAACCAGATTTGTTTACAGTCTGCATGTGAGATAAAAGCAAGACAGAAGAACAAGACAGACAAGTTTGGCTTCAGAAAGATCAAACTGGCACTAGAAAGACTGAATGGGAAGCCCAGTAATAGAGTGGAATACATTGGCCACATATGAAGAAAGCTGAATCATTTCAACATCTAAATTTTCTAATTGCAGATAATAACCTTTCTGCAGGCTAAAGAAGTCAGAATCATTCTTTTTGCCTGAAGTTATGGAAGTTCAGAAAACAAGGAATAAAATTAAATTCTAGTGAAACACTGCAGTTGTATGAAGTGGAGCATAACATTAAAGGGAAAAAAACTCTATTCAAATTACAGCATCCTCTATGTAAAAAAAAAACAACACAAACCAACCCAGAAAAAGAAACTAAAAACCCAAACAAACAACCCCAAACAACACACACACAAAAAAATCCAAACAGCAACAAGAACCAAAAAAAAAAAGCCAAAAAGAGGCCTAAGAGACTTATACATTTTTAATATTCAGTTCCATCATATCTTAATCCATTTTTTCCTTTAAGTTTCATAAATCTTACAAAGTATAATTCACATTAAATCTAGAGCAATTGTTTCTTTTTCTCCTATTGTTCCTCTCTTCACTAAAAACTTCCTAAATCTCAACTTCCACCACAGGGAGCACTAGAATGAAAGAGAGTGCATCAGGTAACAAATCTGCAAGACAGCTATCCACTAACTAAAAGGTTTCTAACACACTGCTACTGCTCTCAAGACTCTTAACAGACGTGTCCCTAATGGTGAAGGCTAACAAAGATTAACAGATATATAACAGAGATTATTTACTTGTCAAATAAAAAGAATGCTTATATAAACTACTTGCCCTCAGACTGGTGCTGTCTCTCTCTTCTAAATAAAGGGAGGAAGCTAGAAGCTTTAAAGTGAGTTAAACAAGAAATGCAACTGTAGTAGGAAGTGTACAATGGCTGCTGGATTCCAAGCAGAGCATATCATTCAAAACAGCAGCTGCCACTGACATGACAGAAAGCTTTGGCAAAGAAACGGAGGAGAACCAGGAAAGATCACTTGCAGTCTAGGCTGGTTCTCCACTACTTTTAAGAAGGCAGTCTCATTATGAGACAAAAATGAATTCTTTGATTCAGCAGCAGTATGAGATATCACCTGGCACACCGCTCTACAGCAGAGGTGCTTTGGTGAGTTACTCCAGCTGTACAGAACTGAGTCTAAATCACACCACTCCAAGCATAACTGGGCAATAAAAAAGAAGTGCAGAGAAGATCCAGACCTAACTTGCCCTAGGTACCTTTCACATTAATAGGGCATTCTAATATCACTCCAGCAAGCAAACACTTATCTGACTTGAGGAAACAAATCTGAAGACAGAGGACAGCCTGAACCCAGCCACAGTACTTATCAAGACTGTGGCAGTCTGAAGACAGCACAAACCCTCAGTCATCTCAGTGCTCAGCAAATAACCTGTCTTTAATGACGACAGTAAACAACCAAAGTCCTACAAATCTAGGCAGTTTCAGTTTGCATACTTACCTAAGACAACCTTCCATGGCAGCTCTGAAGGTTAAGAGCAGAAATGGTGAAGTGAGCTTGTAAATGCAACTCAAGAAGCTAAGACTACCCAGTGCTAGCCTCTGCTATCCCCAGAAAAACATGTGCAACACAATTCCTGCTTAGCAAAACTATTCAACACTAAAGAAAAAACCCAAAAGAACAATATAATAACAGCAGAAAAAGCCACACTGAAGAAAAACTACTGTTTTCTTTAAAACCCCATGCAATGTTTTGTTATCCTAAAATTCCATGCCAAGGAAAAGAAACTCCAAATACTCCCAAAACAAACTCCCCTGCTTATAAAGTGTAGGAGATACCACAACTACTGCATTTTAACAACATGCATTTGGCATCTCACCATCAACTCACCCACAGAAACTCAAACTACACTGCCTAACCACTCTTTAGCTGATGCTGTCACACTATACAGAGAGAGCTCATCATCTGGCAAAGGTAAAAAACCTCTCAGTCTTTCCTCAAGATCCAACCTGCTCAGGTGCTGCTTGCCTGAAAGCTCTGGTGCCAGTAGGTACAAGCTTCTTCAATCTCTCTTGCTCACCTGATTGGGAAGACCAGTAATTCCACAACTAAATGTCCATCCTCTCTTAGGAATGAAAGCAGTATCTAAGCATATTCAAATCAGGCAGACATCCAGACCTGACCTTCGTTCAAATACCTAAGTTTATACAACCATAACATGCTGAAGTTCTGTACTTACCAGACTGCATATCTACTATGTCATTATATCTTATAAGAGCAATTGGAAGAGTCACATCTTCAAAACCAGTCTTGTTATCTGAAATAGCAGACTAAAAAAGAAAGCATAAGTGATAAGTATGTTGAGCCTATTTACAAAGCAGATTTTATCTTCCTACAAATAACCTGAAATTGAAATGATAAATCAAAAAGGTCATTCATCACTCTTTGTAAAAGGTTAATAAAGAAAAATGTTCTTAAATCAAACCAGATGATACTACCAAGACCTCTGAAATCATACAGCTCTTGTGCTTTTATAGTATTACAAGAGATAATCAAAACTGTTTTTAATTTCTACTTCTAAAGCAAGATGAACTTCCTGTGATAATCACACAAATTCGTAAATTGTACATACACTTTGCAGCTGCAATGGAGAAGAAAAAAGCAATGAGGTATCACAAGACCTTTTTTTATTTCCAGTTTTGGATTACATTTCCCTAGCTTATTTTTATCACACATATCTAAACCAGTATCATCTATGTTTACACGGAGTTCAGAAGGCACTGAAATCAGGGAATGACAAAGACAAGTATTTGGATCCAGAAACATGTTTGATGTTTCAAACAACAAAGATACAAGGAACATTTAAAAATCCAGCTCAGCTGTAGCTCCTCTGAGCTGATGTGAGCCAGCACTGCACAGCCCCTCCAGCACACAGCTCTGTGGGGAGGGTAAATGACTCGTGCTGGAATCCCACACGTGGTCAGGGTTTTCTGCTTTTGGGGCTTCTCTCTGCTAAGCTGCACAACACTGCACGGGACCAAACAGACAAGACACTATTTCAGTACAGAAGAAAATTGTTTGTTGTAACTTACCAGCTTAGGTTTACTGGCAATCAACAGCATTTTAGCACCCAAACTTTGTGCTATTCTTGCTTTCTCCAAGAAAGTGCAGTTTCCTCTCATCACTACAACTGCTTTGTCTTTCATTAAGCCAGAAGGAACTTCTGCTGAGCTGCAGAGGACTGTAGAAGTCAGGTTTTCCAGAGTGCTGAAAGTCTGCAGAGAAAGAGGGAGAAAATATTTGTGATTAAAGTAGGAAATTCAATATTACAAACAAATTAATCCAGATGATTACATTACTATGCTCTTTACCTGGAGATTTGCCAGGAAGAGGTGTAACAGAAAAAAAATTTAATTCAGGAACATAAAATCACAGCAGCAGTTTCTGCAACCTGCAATACTGAGGGACATTTAGAGCAGCACAGAGCTGAAGTAATCTGGCTATTTCTAAATGCAATTTCACAGAAGGCAGTTTTGTAATTTAAGCATAAGAAACTGATTACACAGAAAAATCACTACTTGTAGTTCAGTGGAATCTGGCGTACACTCTGTGATATTTCCAGGCTTTACAAGCCAAAAGAGCAGTGATGGATACAACATAATCAGAGGTCCAAAGTACAAAGCTTGTTTAAAACCAGCTGTTTAGTCTAATAATGTATTACTTTACATCATCATCTCCTTAGCTGAAAATTTAATTTCATATCGACAGTTATCTTGAAATGATTGTCAGTTTTCTTAATTTGGTCAAGGCATCCCAGTGGCCAAAGTGGCACAGCAAAGACATCTGGGACAATAAATGATTTTTACTATGTCTTACACTGAGTTAGTCTGTGAAAGAACAATAGAAGGGAAAGCAGAGTGCCTTGATCACTCCCAAACACAAAGTATTTCCTGTTTATAAGAATGCCTAAAGAATATTTATTTCTGCCTCATACCAACACATTCAGAAAATATAGCATCATAGTACATTTCAGATGATCTCCTATTACATCACCTGTTTTCAAGACATTTAAACAGTACACCAAACTGATGAGCCAATATAAAAAAAAAGTTTCAGAAGTTTATCAATTTTTGTAAACAAATAAACAGAACTTTAACTCACAAATATAAAACTTAGACATAAAGATAACACCCAAAGGGAAAAAAATTAACAGGATAAAATTAATAAACACGTAAAAACTGGATCTAAACACAGAGAGAGTATTCTCTTTGTAAACTCTAGAAACCAACTATATAAAGGATAGAAATGTTCACTATAGTTTGTTTTTTTTGGAGTGAGCTGGGGAAGGGGACAACATGAACCAAAATGGCAAATATTCAGTATAGCATGTATTTAACACAAAACTCCAAAGACCAGTTTTAGTTGATTCAAATTCATATTGCACTCTAGTTTTCTCAGAGAGTATGTCTACAAGCTACTTACAGCATTGTCCAAGGTTTTTGGAAGAGATACCCAATTAGAATTGTAAATGATGCAGTATTCCTTGGTTACTGGAGGCACTCCACTTCCAGAGGCATGCAGGATGCCCTCATCAGCAGCTACCTGCAATAAATCAGAGTTTTCTGAGTTACACTAAGTTCAGAATATCAGTTATGTATATGTAAACATTCTTCTAAAAAGCTTAAGAAGAGAAAGAACTACTACGAGAAAAGGAATTTACTCAACTCATTATTTTACATAATGACAGATTCCATGAGACATGGGGACCATAAGAGCAGGCTGGAAAATTTGTAAGAACCTAGTTACTATATAATATTGCTAATCCTCTTTGCAAATACAGTGTATTTATGACATATACAATTCATGTCACCAAGCAGAATACCAGCAAGAAACCAATGCAAATTACTTCAGATACTCTATCTTGTGCCTTCCAAAAAGTGTGAATTTTTACATGGAAAGCAATTAGAACAGTACATGGAAAAGAGATGAAGTTCCAGAGTTTTCCTTCCTCACAGACTCTATAATTTTCCCTACTAATAAAGTAGGGGCTTATATGTATTTCATAAAGATATATATGCATCATATGACAATTCCCAAAATATCTTTTTGTCAAGTAACTGTAAACACAAAGTGATCAACTAGTGTACCTTAAGAAGAATTTGTGTAGTCAAGGAAATACTGGTGATTCTCAAGATTAGAGTCCCTCACATAATATGATTCCTGTTACTTACAAATAGAGCTGAATTTTAAAACTTTTGATAATGTTAGGAATGTATACTTCTCTGATAATGTTAGGAATGTATACTTCTCCCCAAGCAAAAATAATGGCCAGGTATCTAAATGGATAAATGCACAGACTAAAGATAAGATGCAGCTACAGCTATAAAGCAGTGAAAACAAATGAACGTTATTTGCATCTCAAAGAAGTGTTGTGTAAAAAAACTGGAAGATGTTCTTATTACAACTCTTTGTCTTGAAACCGACCTCAATAGCAAGAAGCATCATCAGAGTAAATAAAAAAAAAATAAAAATCCTGCTGTAAATTTCAGATTTGTGTAAAAAGCCACTAACATACTAAGCTAGAAGTAGGGATGGGTATGGGGGAGAAGCCTAAACAGTTAGATACACAATGCTAAGCATTAACAGAGCTAGAGAGGCATTTCTCCTCAAGCAGAAGATCTGTATTCTGCAGCAAGGGAGAACTGGAGAGAAAATAAAAGCATGTGACGATATTGTTTCAGAGGTTTATGTCTGCCTGGTTTGAATAGCAAAAAACCTTCTTCAGAGGAATCCATTATATTGGCCCCAGCGCATGAACATCTGCTGGGAGAACTGTGTCAAAGGGCCTGAGCACATTAACTGTTTAATACAGAACAGTTCTTCAGCTGTCAGCTGAAATAAATTGTTCCATGATTTATGATCAGCACAAAAATGATCAAGCCTTCCTCTTAAGTGCATTCATCTAGAAGTACAAACTAATGGTGAATTAAAAGCAGTAAAGACTTCAACAGGTGCAAACCCCAGAGGCTTACATCCATTAAAAGCTCTTTCTGCTTCACCAAATAGAATTATAAGTGTTTTCTGGGTTCCAGGAAATCAAGTGTTAATGCTACACGAGCATAAATCTACCTAGAAGGAGTGATTACTTGCTTATTTGATATGCATGTTTTGTTTGGCAAGCTCCCCTTCTCTGGGGATTAATCAGGGCACACAATTCATCCTCATGAGGTGGAGGGAGGCAGGATCTGAGCATGACGTGTACCCACACCTATTCATTGCTGAGCTCCAGAGACAGCATTTAGAAGTTAAAAATTAAAAGAAATGCTACATGATGTGCCTCACTTGGAACATCCCCAGGGAAATCCTCTTGCATCCAGCTAAAGTCCTGTTACTTTCTAATCACTTCAGTATCCTTTCACAACAGACAAGGGCTACTGGTTTGGGTACATGGCCTTGCAGTTGGCTATGCCACTGAACAAATCCTACTCTCAGCATACATACAAAGCTAACATTTCTCACCAAGCACATTTTCAACCTTATTACTTAGGAACAAGACTAAGTGTGTGATCACAAAAACATCTCTTGAAAAGATTAACCTGCTTCCCTAGGCTGATTTGCTCTGGCATAAAAGCATTTCCACATGGAGAAGAGGCATGACAGCTGTCCTTACCTAAAGGGGTATCACCATCTCCTTTCATTTCAGGTTCAGGCAATTCACAATGGCCCCTCATCTCCAAACAAATCCCTTCCCATTTCTGACACATAGATGTCTCATCATATTTCCTTCCCTTATCACCTTCAAATTTTTTGTTGTATAATTCCTTACCTTTGATAGAGAAGAAGTCTCATTCTGTCTCTTAATCCCTCATTTTCCAAACGTGTCCCTGTCACTGCAGGGATATAAGCCTGGGCTGACTACTGAGCTCTGGAGTGTACCAGTAACCCCGCCATGCAGAATACAGGAAATCAGATGAACCAGTAGACACAGAGACCAAACCAAGCCTATATTTATAATACCCACTACAACTAGTACCTAGATAAGACATATAAAAAGTCAAAGGTACAGACTAGGGAGAAGGTAGCCTGCATGGAGGAAGAGACAACATAAAACCCACAAAAACGTAAAAAGGCAGGGGAAAAAAAAAGCCATGAACAGAACAACCATCAGTTCTCTGTTCTGCAGGTGACCGTGTGACACACACAAATTCTCCCTCCCTCCAGGCACTGTGACCCAGGAGAACAGAAGCCCATGCTCAGAGAGCAGCAGTGATCCTTCCCCAAACCCAACTCCCCATGCTGTTGATGTCAAGCAACTGCTCCTGAGGCAGAATGCAGAATAGCCTGGTCCAATGCTCATCACTGCTACAACTGCATCTGTAGAGCAAAGAAGGAGGCAGGACATAGGGCCAGGAGTCTTGTAAGAGGGCAGAAGCATCTTCCCTTGTCAGCAGCAGCAAATCATTGGGTTAAAGAGCAAAATACCACTTCAGAAAACCCCAACACACCAGTGACAGCTACATGGGACTCAGGAAAAGCAAGGGAGACAAGTTACTTCCCCCACAGGCAATCTCAAGGTAGTAACAGACTGTTGCTGTGCACCTGTTGTTGAGCATATTCAAAGGTGACTTCCTACACAGGCAAGAAGTATTCTGCATCCTGTCTTACCAAAACAAGATGGACTCCATTAAAACTAAGTACACAACAAAACCTCAAGAACAAAACGATTTCGTGGAACAGCATTTAATGCACGCATGCCCTTTATACTGCCTAAACAGATTATGAAGGTTTCTGACTTCCCCATTTCACTACCCCATTTGGTACAAGGTGGTCTGCCAGATTTCCACAACAATGTACACCTGCAGAGAGGGAGAAGCTGCGAGTATGTGCCATACCGAAACCAAAACTGAAGATAAACGAGGCCAAACTCAGGACACATACACATACTAGAAGCTTCCCCCTTCCCCAAATTTAACCACCAGGTTTATCCACGCAGGCACCCGTGAGATTTGATATCTCAGCTCTCAAAGCGTGACCGGAGCTGGCCCGGCCTGAGCTTCCCGGGCCCGGTGGGGGGAACCGAGAGGCCTCGCCCGAGGCGCTGCCGGGAGGCCCAATCCCCCGGGCCGCACTGCAGCCCAAGCCGCCCGAGGCGCCCGGAGGCAGGGGCAGCCC